AAATACTACAGACTGTTCAAATAATATTCTGTTTCTGTATTGTCCATAGTGCATAACAGCAAAGGGAGGACTCAATATGTATTTGGAATAGAATTGTCAACGAAACCAATATATGTACCGTAATCTGTTACTGCAATGTCCATAGTGCATAACAGGATCATAGGCAAATGGAGGACTCAATATAATATTTGGAATAGAATTGTCAACTACACCAATATATGTACCGTATGTTTAAGTTGTGAAGATAATTTCTAGTATTGAAATATAGGACTCTCCTGTAAAATATACATTTTACATTTTAAAATGCAAATGAAATAATCCTAAATGTCTAATTATTTTATAGCATTGTCTGACTTTAGTGTGCTTAAGGCCGTTGTTTCAAGCTGGTATGACGGCAACCGAAGTCTTCCTATGCTTAAAGTGTTGTTCAGAGACAAGGTGGAATATGGAAAGCTATCAACAGCAACTGACACGATGGAATTGTTGAACAATTTGTTTATACACGATTATCTGAGTTCACAGAATCTTGGACTTCTGTGTGATACTATTAGCGCAACTAAACATTTTGCGCTTCAGTGGAAGGTTAAAGAAATAATACCATCATTCCCAGATGTTAAAGAAGGAAACATTTCAGTAACATTCACACCCCATAGACAAAGGCTAATGAAATTTGGGATGGTACTGACCCCAGCCGATGTTACGCAGATCGATGGGTTGTATAATACACCTCGTAAGGACTATACAGACGGCTGGGAAATGATCACTGATCTTGAAGACAGACTGATAATCAGCGAAGGAAGAATGAAGGAGTTCATTTATTCTCTGAAAATCCATAATCTCAGTCTGGCAATAAACGCATTAACAACATGAAGGTACAGTATTTTTTGGCTGTTTTGTATGATCATCATTGGTTTTATGTTGCATTATATTATATTGTAAATGTTGTAAATAATGGCTTGAAAATCAGATCATTCTTAAGCGGCCACGTTCATATAGTCGGCTGTAAAAAACGTTTAATTTTTAAAATTAATTGTTACTATAAAACTTAAATAAGCTGCTGCTTTTACTTACCTTAGTAGTAGTACTGTAGTAATGTAGTGTATAGTATAAAATGTGCTTAGTGTGCCATAAAAATGTCAATAGAAAATTGTTTAATGTGTTCGTAACATGTGTTCAAGTGAAGGCGATTGGAATGATATATAAATTTGTTGGATGTTCTTAAATGAAGCAAATCTGAATTTAGGCTGACAAATGCTGGTAAACACAGTTGGATGAACATCTAAATGTGGATTTCATTTTTTCAGACTGTTAAATTATGTTGATAGTAGTTGTTATTGTCGTGATGGAATGACAAACAATAACTGGAATTTGCGTCAAAAATGGTATAGGTGTAATTTTGCCCTACCTGACGTGGAAATGTACCGAATACTCAGTACACTTGAAAACAATTGCGAAAAAAAATCGCAAGTTGTTCTCGGGTGGGACTCAAACCCACGATCTCCAGATCACTAGCCTGGCATCATACCTCTAGACCACCGAGCTTGCGCCTGATGGCCAGGGTTGAATTCGAGTCAAAGTAAGCAGCGGGTACTGCAATGTTGATAGTAGTTGTTATTGTCGTGATGGAATGACAGACAATAACTGGAATTTGCGTCAGGAGAAACATGGTATAGGTGTAATTTTTGCCCTACCTGACGTGGAAATGTACCGTACATTTCCACGTCAGGTAGGGCAAAAAATTACACCTATTAGTTCCACTCATTTACCTAGTATGCGATCTGCTCAATAATATGTTAATTTAACTTTCTCATTTTCAAAACTTTCATTTCTACAGGAACAATGGATTGTCAGGTTATGTTGACACGACAATTTTTGTACAAAGTTCAGGTGGAAGATGACCGTGATTTGCTAGGATCACGACTACGATGTGCAAGTTGTCTCAGCTGCTCTGAAGGTCCTGGTAGATATGTCATAATGTGACTATAATGCTAGTGGTAATGTAGTAGAGAAAGTCAGCGATCTACTTTGTAAGGCATTCTACAAAACCAACGTAACATCATTCTCATCTACAACAATTGATCGAACTCGGCAGAGTACTATTGCCATAAGAGATAAATATGCTCGGTGGCGATACAAAGCCCAGTGCTCAGATACTGAATCTGGAAAGGATGAGAGAAATTAAAGAAAATCGAATATGGGTCCATTTATTGAGGTCCAGGGAAATGTCTCGCCCCCACCCCTCCCCCTCCCGTTTTACCACCAACTGTTAATGATTTCAATGCAAATCAATGTTAATTGCTACTCATTTACCTATTCTAATACTGTTGTATTCCCCCCCCCCCCCCCCCCCCCCCCCCCCCCCCTGAAACATTAATTATGCAAATCAAATTTATACGAATTATATGTCTAGTTTACAGTCGGATGAAGTCATTACACTGTGCTATTTTGCGCACATTATTTTCTACTGTATATTTGTGAATATTCTTGTTTAATTTTACTGGTGCTTTTTTTAAAATGAAATAATTTTGTATTACATTTTCAGTGTTTCCATTTTTCCTATCTATTTTAATCTGTAATACACGATTCGATAACGATGTATTGTGTACGATAAAACAAAATATGTTTCGTTTCAATATTGTTTATTGTTTTGGCTATTATGAATTAAATGTTACTGTTACCGAAATTAAGAAGTATTTGATTTTACAGTATTAAGGCCTGTTGATACTTGCAACGACAACGATAATGGTATAAGCTAAAATACAATTGTTCATATAGAAAATAAAAGAACTAATAGAAGTTTCACACTAGGACGATTTGATGACAATTTATTTTGATGATTTTATTGTGTATACAATTACAAACTATTTTGAAAAATCACTTAAAATGATGTCATAAATCTTGGGAGAACGATAAAGTCGTAGTAGTATTCAATTCAATAAATTTATTCCAAATATTTTCAAAGCATAAATTAAACACTACAGATATGAAAAATGGAAGTGGAAAGAGCAACTACAAACAAGCAGAGCTTTACACTTGTAATATTATAATAATAATAATAATAATAATAATAATAATAATAATAATAATAATAATAATAATAATAATATTATGTCGGTCTTAGCAATTTACACTGTAAAATTATATAAATATTTGAATAACAGCAATAAAACAACATACAAAAACGAAAACAAAAGTATAATAAAATAATAATAATAATAATAATAATAATAATAATAATAATAATAATAATATGTCGGTCTTAGCAATTTACACTGTAAAATTATATAAATAATTAAATAACAGCAATAAAACAACATACAAATTGCACTTTAACAGCATTCACTAATAATTTATTGACGATTTTTTTTACAAATAATGCAATTAAAAAGTTAAGAAGATGGGTGTGGATAATGTACATTACATTGTTTTCTTTCTATTCAAGTTGGTCATGATACCAGTAATCGCATATCGTGATCCCATATGTAATTAGGGAGGACAAGAGACGTATAAATAGGCCTAGTAAGCAGTATCTGATATGGTAGATTTTTAAGGAGATTATATTGTTTCAATAATTGCAGACACCTTAATAGCAATAACGTTTACATGTTGTGAGAGATTATTTTTTTCATTAAGAGTGATACCAAGGAATTTAATTTTGTCTACTCTCTGAGTAATGTCTTGGTCAATGAGGAGTTCGACATGTGGTGTGCTTAATGCTAGTATTTCTACTACTAAACACCATCAATTTAGGTTGAAGTTTTTTTTTAATTAACAGTAAGTTTGTTTGCTTTACTCCACATTTTTTAAACGTTTTAACTCGTCATTCATTATATCGAATGCATAATTTATATTACCATGTAATTATTAGTATCATCTGCAAACGTTGTTGAGTTTTAGTACTTACTAAAGGCATATCATTGACAAGTAGGCCTAGTAAAAATAACAAGGGACTAGGATAGATCCCTGGGGAACTCAATACTTCGCCAACTTTCTATCAGATTGTATATTATCTAAGGTTACCGATTGTTCTTTCACTTAAATAACTACACAACCATTTTAAGTACAAGACCCCTGATGTCACAATAAGGTACTTTTTGTAGAACATTATGATCTATCGAATCAAACTCCCGGTTAGATAGGTCGAGAAAGACCCCAACAACAAATACATTGGTTGTCAATTGCCGTTATTTTCTCAATCGTCTGAATGAGGGCGTGTTTTGTAGTGTCCTCTAAAACTGTACAGGGTATTGTGTTTCATTCAGGATTTTACTTATTTAAAAAAGAAACCGTTTGGTCATAAACAAATTGGTATATAGTTTTAGCAAGTTTAAGCTTCTCCGGGAAAATTCCAGTTTTGAGTGATAAGTTAGAGGTATAGCTAATATATCTGAATACATTTTTTTTTTAAATTTGCAACAATATCGTCAAGACCAGGCGATTTGTTTGAATTTAAATTCGTTAGATATTTTTTAATATCATGCTAGTTAAAGGAGTAAAAAACATTGGAATTTTGTACACTATTTTTATTCATATAATCCATAGGATTTGTATCTTGGTATTTTTATTTGCTTTTTTGGCCATACCATTTGTCATCCAGGGTGATCTTACTCTATCAGTCTTTAATCTGATTTTTGTAAATGGAAAACAGCGATCGATCAGTGCTGTAAATGTTTCAGTAAAAGAATTATATGTTTCATTAGCATCATTACTGTTAAAAACATTTTCCAACTGATTTTCTAACTCATTTCTGAAAACTTGTGTTTGTTCAGGTGAATAATTACGTTTGTAAATGTAGTTGTTTTACTTTTGTTGTGTATTTGTGATTTGTCGATGCTCATTATTGGACTATGATCAGATATGTCGCTAAATATAATATTTGTATCAATGCATTGAATATGCACCCGATTATGCTATTATCACTAGGTATTTCCAAAAAAGACAATTTTCTGACGTATCATAAATGAATATTCGACAAAATAAATATGTGGATAGCAGCGCATTCATTCTACCAATTTAATGTACAGTTTCTGGTAAATTTTAAAGTCGCCTTAATCCAAAATTTAGTCCTTTTGCACATTCATGTTTTACTTGTATTTTAAATAATTTTTATTGGTGTTAAATGTTTAAAATTAATTGAATTAAAAAATTAATTTTAAATTTCACTGTAAACATTTAATTATCTTTTAAGCTTTGTCTTATTTCTGTACTGGTACTGGTATTGGGTATTTATATTGCGCCTTTCCCTTGTGGTTATGAGCCTCAATAATTCAGGAAAACAATGGTGGGTATAAAATCAGTCACTCAGGAACCCGAAGCATCACAGTAGTACAGTCACACAAAAGACATAAACAGATAACAACAGTAAAAACAATAAAAACAAAAGGAAAAGCAGCAAAAGAGACTTAGGCAAACAAGTAAGTCTTGAGTGCGCGTTTAAAAAGATTAGGATCGGAAATATCTCTAAGGTCAGTTGGAAGATTATTCCAAAGTTTAGGAGCATAACAAGGAAATGCTAAACCTCCAATTCTATTGTTGTGACGTGGTATAATGAAATGTACAGATGAAGAGGAACGTGTTGTACGAGTAGGGATACGTTGGTCGAGAAAGCCATATATATAGTTAGGAGAAAAACCATATATACATTTGTGAACAGTGAGAATAATTTCATGTATACAATAGCCTGGTTGTAAAACTGCTGAAATTAACTTTAGCGGGAAAAAAGTAAAGGAAAATTTATTTTTGGTTTTTCAGAATTAGAATACAATGACAAAATTCCAAGCGTTCATTTTGGCCGAAAAACTATTTTAATATAAAAATAATGTTCTTGTTATCAAAGTACAAATACAATCTCAAAACAATATTATACATACAGGAATAAATAATACATATAAAGAACTACTACAATATAAACCCAATGAAAAAATGAAATACTGGTAGTAGAATTTTGCTTTAAAAGACCAAATAATCCCATCTTTGACTTCGGATCGGGGTATGGGAAACATATTTATGATTTCAATCACTTCTAGTTTTGCTATAAATGTCAAACCTTATAAACTCACCCTTTACTGTCGTTCAGTGTAGTGGCCCTCAGGGGATCTGACCGGTTGGGTCCAACATAGGGCCAACTAGACCTCGGTCAGTCTAGAAATAAACATTCTTGGGCTCATGGGAGAGCCTTTTTAGGAGCTTAGGCTATTTAAGCCAAAATAATTATAGTTATATGGAGAAGAAAATCAATATTTTTGGTGTGGCGACTTGATCGTGGCGTCGGACGATGGGGGTCTAGCAGTGGTGGCTCTAGGATATAATTTGGGGGGGGGGGGTGGCCAAAAATTTCGACTGGGAGCTAAGTATGGGTGTAACTATATAGCGCGCAGCTTCATCTGAGGGCCGAAGACCAGAGCTGGGGGTGGGTATGGAAGGGGCCCTCCCAAAACGAGATTTTTTTTTTGGGACTTCCAGATGGCCGTCAATGGTCGATTTACATTATTATGTTCTGCTTGACCCAGACGAAGCGATTGCTGAGACAGATTTGGCTTTGCGTAGGTAGTACAGTACAGGGATGGGAAAACTAGGCCTATATATATATATATATATATTTTTTTTTTTTTTGGTCCGTCTACCCGACGAGCTTTGGACGAAGAATAATTATGATTGACGATAATTGTTGTTGATGAGGTTGACTGTGATAATGATGATGATGAGGATGACAGAGTATGATTGATGAGAATGATGATATTGATGATGATGAATGATGAGAATCATCCCTATCATCTGCACCCTCATTTTCATTCTCGTCCTCCTCATCATCATCGTCATGAGAAGAGAATGATGAAGCTGGTGAGGATAACAATGATGATGATGAGGATGATGATGAGGATAAGGGTAATGATGATAATGATTGATGAGATAATTTCTATTTCAGTGATGATAAGATAATATCATTGATGATGATGAAGATGACGATGATGATGATTATAATGAGGAAGACGGTTAATGATGATGATGAAGATAAGAATGATGAGGATGATAATTATGATGATAAGGATGAGAATGATGGTGATAATGATAATTGATGAGGATGATGATGATGATGTGGTTGATGATGGTGAAGACAAGCAGAAGAATATTGATATAAAGTAGTTAAATGGGAGTCTTATAACTAATATAATGATGAGAGGCAACTCTTTAAACCATTGAGCACAGATTAAACCATTTTGGGAAAATCAGAAATAAGCGTGGCAAAACATTCTTAACACATTTTTATAAGGAATTTTCAGTATGTATCTTACATAAATTGTACAGCATCACATGATTGCACTTTTTGCAGAAAAAATGAT